TCTTGACTAGAGGATCTGGTTTTTTTCTTTCTCTTGGGTCTATCATTTCATCATCCTTATATCTTACAATTAATAAAGAGACAGCAATCCCCACTGGCCTGTAATCATCCTTTGGTCAGATGTCAAAAAGTTCTTTCATGAAAATGAGACTAGAAGAATCTTTTATACAAACACAGAAACTTTCAAGATGGACCCTCATTACAAACCCCACTCAGGCACGAATGTAAGTCTGAACCTTGATTCTCCAGAATGAAAGTTTGGGGAGACAAGGGCTCAGCGCCTTCCTTGCCAAATCTTTCCTTTGAAGTTGGACCTGCTGATATTAGTGCCCTTGGTTAGACTAGGGACCCAGTTCTCCAGAGTGCTAGAGTCAAAGATGAACTTGAAAAGGAGAATCTGGATCGATATTCCCAGGAAAGTGTAAAACAGCTAATACACCCTCTAAGCAAATAAAATGAGAAAGGTGGTAGCTGTAAAGAACAACTGGCTAGAATGAAAACTAATTTTTCAAAAGAAAGCTTTCAAAATTATAACTTTGTCGTCTGCCTCACAAACGCAAGGACCCAAGTTTGATCCCCGGTAATGAAAAGGAGAATCTGGATCGATATTCCCAGGAAAGTGTAAAACAGCTAATACACCCTCTAAGCAAATAAAATGAGAAAGGTGGTAGCTGTAAAGAACAACTGGCTAGAATGAAAACTAATTTTTCAAAAGAAAGCTTTCAAAATTATAACTTTGTCGTCTGCCTCACAAACGCAAGGACCCAAGTTTGATCCCCGGTAAAAAAAAAACACACAACCAAGTGTGGTTGTTTGTGTCTATAATCCCAGCTAGGAGGCTATAGCAGGAAAATCACAAGTTCAAGGCCAGCCAGGGTAACTTAACGAAAGTCTACCTCAAAATAAAAACGGCTGGTAATGTATCTCTACATATATACACATATGAACATCTAATTTTTGTGTTACGTATAGACATAATTCTTGTTCGTTTTTATAAGGATGGAATCAGACAATACATAGTATCCATACTGGGGCAAATTACTGAACCTCTTGGGCCCCTGGTTTACTGATCTGTGAAATGGACCTAACAACCAGTAAGCATAAGTCTAGTTTGAGGAATGGGTCATCTGAGCACACTTGTGGGGAGAGGAGGGAAGGTAGGGGAACTTAATGATACCAGGCAGATCAGCGGTCCCAATGCATCCTGGCAATCTTCAGACAAGAAAACCTTAGCCTAGGTGAGGCTTTCAAAAGTCTGTTTTTCCGTTCTTAAGGATGGTAGGAAAGGAGGAGGAAGAGAAAGATAAGGTATAGTAAGAAGCTTTGGAAAGGGGAGAAAATAGCTGTGGCAATACAAACAGAATAGGGAGAAGCCAAGCCCAGCCCAGAGCCTGACACATGGTAGGTGATGTGAGGGCTTGGGGCCCAGTGCAGAGCAGCAGGACAAGTTGAGGGTAGGTGACACCACTTTCTACTGGATCTTCTATGCAAGGGGTTCTAGCCTTCTTATAGCAGTATCTGCCAGTATCTTCAGACAGAAAGATGGTGGAGGTGCTCAGTGACAGTGGCAAGGCCAGGGCAGCCAGAGCCTCTAGGGAATTAGTAGGGAACCCTGAACAGCTCCCTTCTCATGCATCTTAGCAGTATGGGTGCAAATGATCTGTCTACCTTTCTTCTACACTCAACTGTCTGAGTCTCTTTCGATGGAGACTCACTCTCATTTTTGCCCACATTTAGCACAACGCCTGAGACGTGGCAGGCATCAGTAAATATCTGCTGCACTGAAAAAGGTTCAGGGCAAGCAGGAAGATAAAATCCAAACGGGGTTAGTGAAGAGGTAGAACAGAAAGGAAGTAACAAAGAGGTGAGGGGTAAGACAGATACAAAGGGTATTAAGAGAGGGAAGATGCGAAGGATCGGAGGAAAGAAGTCAAAATCAGAGGGAAGAACTCAAAGGCAGAGAGGTGGAATCAAGAAGTTTCAAAATAATCATATCACAGAGAAGTATGCGCACCCATGTTTATAGTGGCACAGTTTGTAACAGCTAAAACTTGGAAACAGCCCATTTGCCCATCCGTTGGAAACTGGATAAAGAAGATGTGGTTTTTCTATAAAATGGAATATTACACAGCCATAAAGAATGAGAAAATAGATTCATTCATAGGAAAATGGATACATATTGAAGATATACTCCTAATTGAAATAAATAAGGCACACATGTGTAAATACCGAATAGTTTCTGTGGTGTGAATAATCTGCAATAATAGAGGATCCTAATAAGATTACTGACATTGTGAAATGGGAAGAAAGGAGCTAAAGGTGTAGGGAAGGTGGGATGGGTAGGGGAAAGGTAATAAGGGAAAGAAAAAAATGTGAGATAATGAAAAGATGGAAATAAAGTGTTTGTAGATGGGGAGGGGAGGAGGGGGTGAAGGGAGGGCAGGGACAAGGGGAAAAAATGAGAACCAAGACTTGTCATATAGAGGTACAAGATCCCAACAATGAATGTAACTGTACTGTATCCCTAAAATGTACCAATAAACTCAAAGTAGAAAAAAAAAAAAAAAAGAAGTTTCAATGGTTAAGTGACACCAAGTGTGTTATCCTGCTGGGTACCTGATAGCACTTTTCAGTCTATAATGTGCCTTTGCATGTAAAATTGTTTTGAAACAATCATACATAAGAGGCAAGACTCAGAAAAGCTGCGCACTTTAAGCTACAGAGCTGGGAAATAATGGAGTAAGACACGGGCTCAGTTCCTCTCAGGTTCATCCTTATCTACACCACTTCACAGCCTCTCTGAGGGAGAGAAGGAACCTGTAACCAGACCACAAATACAGCCAATGTGAGCTCTGTGGGGATAGAGGAGGCCCACAGAAGTGTGGCTTCTGAAGTCACTGAGGACAGCAGGGAAAGATGAAAAAGATCTAGACAAATGAGTAATGGAAACCAGGAGACAAGGTAATGACACTGACAGGGCTGGAAGTCAAAAGACAGAGTGAAGCATGACCATGCTGTGGCCGGGGGACAGGATTCTGATGATCTTCATTTTGACCTGGGACAGAAGGAGCAGCTACCACTGAATAGAGTTTAGTGCTCCATGAAGTCCCCAGTGGAAGGCAGAAGATAGGGAATGTGGATTGAGTGGGGCTCCAGAGGGACCCTGAATTTTAAAAACATTCCTTAAAGAGGAAACTCAAACATCTAATGGTGGACAGAGTGAATTTATTATGAGAGATTTATATCATCTTTTTCTACCTGAAAAAAGCAGAATTTCTCTTACCTGCTCCAGAAGGGAAGAAAAATAGAACCCAAACCAACAGTACCTAGAAAGCATTAACTAAAGATAACTTCCAAAATAAGCCATGATATAGAGACATAGTGAACAAAATGTGTATCCCAGCCACTTGATGAATCAAGAAGAAATTTTAAATAAGCCACAGTAAGAGAGGTGTCATTGCTTACACCTTTAATGTGAAAACTCTGGGAGACTGAGGCAGGAGGATCAAAAGTTCCGTCCCAGCCTGGCAACTTCATGACTTATCAAGACGATGTCTCAAAATAAAACATAAAATAAGGGCCGGAGATGTAGTTTAGTGTGAAGGTCTGGGGTTGAACCACCAGTACTGCTAAAACAAAACAAAACAAAAGCTAGGATTATATCCTCCACATGGTAGGAAACATACTGCCCTTTAATATCATAAATGGAAGAAAAAAGGCATGGATAAGAAGACCAACCTTAATAACAAAGTAATATGACAGAGAAATGAGCTAGTTCACTGGTGCTATGTTCAAGGGAGGGCCCTTATTTTTATCTGTTGGCCATATGCTACATCTCATTTTGAACCAAATACTTTCAGGGGAAAAAAGGGAAGGGAAGGGTATGAAAAACAAATTAAGATGTGTTATGTACATGTACCAACTCCCAGGGATGAGTGCGGTCATTATGTGCTGCAAACATTTACTAAGACAAAACAAAACAAGGGGGATGGTAGAATATCTTTAAGATCCCAGGATAATTTGGCTATGTTGGTGAACTTTTAGAGTGAGAGGGTTGCAAAATAGCAAAAATGATGATTGGTCTGGACTCATCATTCTGAACCAATGGCTCATGTCCTGAATCACTTATTTTTAAGTGAGAGTCCTTTTCTCCAGAAGCTCCTGATTTTTGGCAAGCAGTGAATGCCTTTCCTTACATATGAACTGTGTTCCTTTATCAACATCTGCTTATAAGAACTGTTTGGAAACAATGTCTTTTTATCACATTACACTAGAGAAATGGTTCATGAGAAAAACAGATCCAAATTGGCCACATGGACTTTTGCGGTCATCTACTGAAGACACTGAGGATGTTGATGCTTCAGCAGAAACATTAACTACGTACCTCCTGTGAGCTAGTTTTTTCTACATACATGGTGCCTTCATCTGTTAGCTCATTTCACCTTTATATAATTACATATTCAACAACTTCCTCTTGCAGATGACGAAACAAAGCCTTAGGCCAAGTGACTTGCCCAGGTCAACTCCACAGCTTCCTCCCTTTCACTAAAACATGTTTCACTCAACAGCGACATTCTCATCAAAAAACTTCAGAGGATTTTGAAGTCTGGCTTTTGTTCCCAAATGGCAGCTGACAGCAAGTCTGACGGGACATGCCAGGGCATGGCTGAAACTTGAAGACCTTGGGGATCTCAACTGTTCCTGTCACCAGTTTCCAATTTGTCTTAGAGGGAAAAGCACACAACGGCTTGGTGCTTTGGTTTCTCCAAGCTGAGAAATGGAAAAAGGGTTACCTATTTTCTTGAACTCTTTAGAATGTCATGAGATATAGGAAAGCTGTTTGGAAAGAAAAGAGCTATATAATCAGGTGTTCTCAAATCTGAGTCATTTTAGACTATTTTAATGTAGAGTCCTTTGTGGCATTAACAAGTTACAGACCTATCACTCCTAGCCCATTCCTGGAAGCGGGAATGCAGAGAGTAGGGTTCACTGAAGCCTTACCAGCAGTAGTCCAGCAGATGTGGGGGCAGCACGGGGATGTACACATGCTGCCAGTACATGGGGTAGAGCATCGCGGCTGAGCCGTGGATGCAGGCAGTCAACTGCAACAGAAGCAAAGCAGAAATTCAGAAAAATCAAGTGATGAAGCACTGTCACTGGCTTGCAGCAATAAAATGAAATATGTACACATCAACATACTTAAAATTACAGGATGAAAGATCTGCAGAAATAATTCTAAATTAATTTGATCACCCTAAAGCAAATTCTGTAAGAATTTTCAAATATGTATTTTTTTCCTGGTTATAAAAGGCAATGCAGGGCCGAGGATATACTCAATGGTAGAGATTCTTTCTACCATGTGTGAGGCCCTTGGTTCCAACCCTAGTACTGGAAAAGAAATGAAAAATAGCTAATGCACACTTAGAGTAGAGTACAGTCAGAAAACGGAGATACACAAGAAAATATGAGTTTCACCATCAGATTATTTACTATTTTAGGGTATCACACACACAAGCACTTATGTTTCTTTTCCTAATAAAATTAGGAACACTATAAATACAGTGTTCTTTTAAAAATTAACATTATTTGATACCATTTTTCCACATCTATAAATATTTCTAATATTATATTTCACTACTCTTCTATCAGTTATGTACTGCATCAGAACAAAAATTTTGTAAGTAGTTCCTAGATGTAGAATTTAGGGACAAAGTTCATGAATATTTTAAGGCACTTACCAAATGCAATAATATAAATATGTTGATATAATAAGTGGATAGAGGTCTGCCTTTCCTCAGTATTGTTGCACCTTTTGTCATGCTTCTTGACTACATTTCTTAGGTAAATGATCTATGTTATAGTCTCAGTCCACTTTTAAAATGAACATTAGTATTTACACATGAATTTATAAACAAGCGTTGACAACTTGAAAAGAATTCCAACCCTTTGTAATGTTTTTGAAAATGATTTATTCTTAATTTTCTTTTAATTTCTGAGTGAAGAGAAGGTTTAAATAATTATGTAGACAACTGTTTTCTTTAGTGGTGATTTCCACCACTTTTATCCTGAGAAAGTCTTAGGAAATTTTCTCCTAGCAGTTAACTCTTTAATCCACCTGGAATTAATTTAGTTTTAAGAACTGAGGTGAGAATTTATTTTTTCCACACAGTTAGTTAATCAATTGTTCTGGCACTCTTTACTGGCTAATCCTCCCTCTTTCTATTCTTTTGACATGCTCCTATTTTATATTTCTTTATTTTCTTAAGAGTTAGAGATAATCTATCATAAAATTAGTATTTGGGACATAAAAATTTAGGAAATAACAATACTAAAAATGGGTACAATTTGCTACAAAACTCAAGATGGCAAAATAGGAAGGGGAAAAAAACCAACCTTTGGAGATATAGCTATGAAGTGACAAAAGCCAACAACACATGTTTCCTTCTGTGTTTTTTTCTTTAATGTTTCTTTGGTTTCTGGGAAGCCTGTTCCCACAAGGATTCTGCCTGTTTTGGAAGCTGTTAACTGGCCTTTGCTGACAGAAGGACATTTACGTGGCAGAAGAGTGAAGTGCCAAGGCCCAGTTAAAAGAATCCCAGAGGTTAGTGTAACACGAACAGCTTTAAATTGGATATTCTGCTGATGCTTCACAGTTGTGAGACGTGGGTATTAAAGCTAAAGTGCTCCTTCCCCCACCCCCTTTCCTTTCAGACTCTGTTCTTTACATCAGGTGCATGTCAGGAATAGGAGCAAGCACTCAAAAGCTGCTCCCAGAGACTACACCAAAGCTGCAAGGTCCAACCCACCCTTCCCAACATATTTTTATAGGTTCCTTGATAAAGGAGCATGTCATATGTATACATATATGACTAATCCCTTCAGGGTTTCCTAGAGATGAAAATCCTTGCTGTTGTCATGTGAATGGAGGATGAACCAATTTACTCCAATTCCACCCTTAAGTCAGGCTGAAGGTTACACTAGCTTTGGATCTCATCCTATCCTTTAACTAACTGCCACTGTGCTCCTTCTAATCTGTAGGCTCAATCACTTCACTACCTGGTCAAAAGTCATAGAGACATGACTGGGAAAGGCAGTTTCCAATAGCTCAGCAGTTCCAACCACCAGTCTTAACTGCCTTCTCCAAGTTCTCCTGTGGAATATATCATTTTGTACATGTAGGAATAATTACAGGCGCTTTCTTTCGCTTATCCTCCGAACTAGATTATTTGTACCCCTAGCAAACGCATGTCTCAGTTAGGACTCTGTACAAAAAAAGTCTGTCTTTGGCTCCCCTGGGCATATATCCCAGTATTAAATGGACTGTAATTATATTACTTTTTCATTTCCCATGTTCTCTGTGGCATAGCATATACACAAATGGTAGTTAATGCAATGTGTACCAAATAAATAAAAACAATTCATACTTTGAGTATGTTTATAATAGAAACACAGTAGCTTGGCTTTCAACAATACTGTCCTAACATTTTCATGAGTCCCACAGAGTAGGGCATATGACTCCAATTCTAAACAGTAACAATTCACACATACAAATATGCTACTTTTGGAAAACTTGAGTTGTTCATTTATACAATAATATGCCTATTAACGCACTTAAAAATCTATGAAGTGCAATAAAACACAAGCATCATCTCATGATTCATTTGCAATTTGCTGAAACAGTCATTTAATAGGATGGCTCTGTTTGAAACAGAACTTCATCATCAGCTTCTTTTTAACTTAAATTGTTTTGGGTCAAAATCTTATCTTCAGACAATGTTTCATCCAGGTTTCCTAAACTTCAAAATAAATTCACCAAGCTAAATGCCAGGATTTTGTAATTACTTAACCTTCATTTAAAAAAAAAAATCAAGGTTTTAAGTTACTTGATCATTTCATTAGGGGATTTTCTAAGGGCCAGATCTCTCCAAATGGAGTAAAATGCAGCACCCTTTTGATTAGAAAAACAAACAAACAAAACAGGGAACTGTTTGGCTCTATTCCAAAATACTAAATGGCACAAATTATGTGCATTGTTACTTAAGAATAGTGGCTAAGCTGATTACTTTTTAAGAAAAGTCTTACTATATATCTATGCTTAGCCAGAAATAATACATAATGTTCTGTAAAGTACCACTAGCTTCTTCTTTTTAAATAACTCTAACCCCCTTTTCTAAAAATGAGAATCCTTAAACAATTATGACCATACACTACAGAAAACAAAATTTTAAAGTAATGAAAGTATATAATTTGAAGTATAGTCAACAAAGGGGTATTGTGAATATTTAATTAAAGTGCAAGTTGAGGAAAATGATCCTATCAAAATCTCACTCAGTAGAATAGAAAGATAGTATGTGTAAAATTTGCCCAAAGTCATTAGTCACAATGAATATTCATCAGAAGCCAATTATCAATCCCATTTAATGACACCCCAAAAGATTTTGCCCTGAAGCAGCTGAATAGTCTTAAGATTCCAGACAAAACCAGACAAATTATACAGCCAACAGCTAGTCTAGCCAGGACACAGATTGTGAAATAAACCACTGGTGGGTTTTTGGCCGCAGTTTAGCAAATTCTGTCCTCAATTAAAGGTGCACAAGGTCAGTTATATGTTGGAGTTTCTATAGTCTCCATTATTTTCTTAGAGGATGAGGGAAAAAGTGAAGGCAGTGGGGATAGGATATGAATGGAGCATGATCAAAGGTATAAGTGGAAAATCACAAGGAACCTTTATTTTTTAAAATAAAAATATTCTCACAGATAACGTTCAGACTGTCAAAATCTAAGCTCCCAATACTTGGGCTGATTGCTAACAGCAGCTCTGCAACTTAATATGGAATTAAAAGAAAGAATGCCTTCTAGAAAAAGAAAAATGCAACAAAAATCCCCACAGTGTATGTGCCAGGAACCATGCTGGGGGTTGAGGCCCTTGCAAAGCTTTCTTTCAAAGGAATGTGCATGTAGATGACATGAACACTTTCACCACATTTCACAGATCAGGAAACAGTCTTGGTGGTGAAATAACTTGTCCAAGGCCATACTGTTAGTAAGTGACAGAACTGGAACTCACGTCCAGGTGTGTCAAGCTATAATGGCCACTGTCTCCATAATGCATAAATTAACTCAAAAAGTATGTGCCTTCACTGTGCCATCCACTATGCTGAAGATTCTGAAATGGGTAAGGTTCTGTCCCAGTTGGCACAGTCCAACTATGTAGATACGCATTTGCCTTGCTGTTACATGACCAAACATCTAGGACAAAATACTTGCAACAGGAAGAATCTTTTATTTTTTTTTAACAAGAAAAATAATGCACAAAATTTATTTCATGCCTAAGGCATGGAAGTATTACGTTTGAAAAGAATCATTTTTAAAATAAACTCACATCTGATCATTTCCTCGGGATTAGTCACATTTAAGGTGTTGCAGTGTCTTTAATCCACAGGAAATTCTAGATAAGGAATTAATGACTGTTAATAAAAGGGAGTGGTTTATATGCCATCTTGGGCTCACATTATCTGAAAGCATGGCGTAAGGGTAGTAGAAAGTCTTGCTCTCATGCTCCCTTTTACATACTTGCATGGTCTTCTACTAACTCTCCTTTGGATCTGAGTAAACCACTTCCTTTTTGGTCTTACTTTCCTCTGTATGTAAAATGAAAAGGTGGGCTACAAAAAAATTGTGCCCTGTACTTCTTAACAATTCATGATTCGAGAGGAACTACCCTCCTTTGAGGTGAAGAATGACTCTCCTCTGCCTCAGTTGACCTTTTTCAGTTATACTGACTATGCAGAAGTAAATCTACAGTATTTTTTTTTTCTTTTTTGGTACCAGGGATCAAACTCAGATCCTTGTGCTTGTGAGGCAGGTGGTGGAACCACTGAGCTAAATCCCTGGCCCTAAATCTACAGTCTTGCTTTCTCCTCTTCGCAGCTACAGGGACCCACTTCAAATTCATAATTTAAGAACCATCACCTTCATCCACTCCTATCTCCATCACCAAACTGTGGAGGGCACAACCTTCCTCCATGCCAGGCCCCTGACATGCTGAAGATCTCAGAGGAAGATGATAGTAGAACAAGAGCATGAGACTCTATAAGGACAG